GTGATTTTTTTTTTTTAATCCATGATAGAATTTTTTTGAAAATTTGTGATTTTTTTTTTTTAATCCATGAGCTGTTTTTTTGAAAATTTGTTATTTTTTTTTTTTAATCCATATTATTCAAAGAGAAAATGAGAGAGACGATGATTCTGAGGCCACCCTATCCCAGCCATATTATTCACATATCGAGTCCCAACAGCAACAGTGTAGGGATGAGCACGACAGTGCAAGTGAGCATGAAGGATGGACAATCTTCGGGGATTTTAGATTGGGAACACAACAAAACACTAACACTCAGGGATTTGGGAATAGTCAGACGCCTGCTAATATCGATGATTCATTTTTAGATCGAATCAATGAATTGTTAAACGAATTCAATCAATGGCACCAGCGTGACCAAGAAGAACAATAACGTCGTCTATCATTTTATTTTTAGATCATATGGTACTAATTTTATGCTTTATTGTAGTCCATGTATGTTGATATACTTATTCCATGATAATTCTATGTTTATCCTTTTGTGTGATGTAAATTAAATGCTGAATGGCGGTTCATGCAGGGAAAGAACATATCAATATTCGCATATTCATTCAAAAACATGAAAATTCTTAATAGAGTACCCTCATTTCTTATTGAATTCCTAAAAAACGATATTTATAATGAATTTTAATAATTTTTTCGGATTTTGTTTAAGCTTTATCCTGACCGATTTACCCGATTCCCGATCCGGATCGCCGATTCGCCGATCCGGATCAGTTTTTTGAGAGCCCGATCCGAGTCACCGATTCGTTTTTTAAACCATTGGATAGAACAAATCTATAAACACTACAAAAATTGACGGTCCAAAAAACGAATTACAAGATATACTACGTCCAACACTTGAAATCCATTTTTCTCATGTTCGTACATCTTCATGTCCAAATTATCGATTTGAGGTTTTTTGGGCACCGAAACAATCTCTTCTAGTGAATTTTTGAGGTGCCCCTTAATTTTGACTGTCTAGCATCAAAATATGATCCAACAACTCAAAGGAAAATCGAATCAAGCCATGAAGATAGGGCTGCCAGGCAGCGGCCAGGCTCAGGCCTTTTCTACCTCTAAGACCTCACCCAACAAAGAAAGGGGCAGTTTCTTTCCTATGCAACTATGGCAGCTTATAGGGTGAGGTTTCCATCATCCTTTCTCTTTCTAAGAAGCTCTAATGGAGTTTCATCTTGGTGTGGATCTGAAAGGGAACTCTTTGAAACTAGGATCGAGCAAGAGCCCATTTGGGTTGAGCTCATTTCCCTTAAAAGCGGAACCCCCATTTGTACAAAATGAAGACACGCAATTGTGGCTGCAAAGGGCTACAAAATGAAGACCCACGAAATGATGAGAGCTGAGTGAGAGAGAGAGGATTTCAAGCCCTAAAATTACAATTCTAGCATAAAAAATCCTTCAAATCAATCATCTCAACCTTAATCATTATGGTTGCAAAAAAAAAAAATTCAAACCCTAAAAGTCAAGTATATTGTAACAATTATCCATACCGTCCATTGCACCCTAAAATAAATGTTCCCAGATCCGCAAGATTCGTACTATTTTTTTATCTTCAAATTTCATAGTCAGCATTGAAAATTAATTTTAGAGTCATCATAGAGAACTGATACCCAATGTGCTCTCCAAATGAGGATTAAAGGTGAGGCTTTACTTTGTTTTTGTGAAGCCTAGGCCCTATAGAAACAGCATCCTTAGATATATACAGTGATACAATGCGACAGACAGCAGTGGAACGACCATTGTCAACAACTTGGATGAAAACAAAGTAGACAACTCTCAAAACTAAGTCACATCATCACCTATCATCCAATTAAGCGCCTAGATCAAATCTAAGACAATGTAGCTACAAATATTGAGTAAATGGTTCAACTTAATCCAAATAACATTGCTCCTATAACATTAGGAAGAAACACAAAATCCAAAAACTACCATATTAGAAGACAACAAAACAAAAAGTCCTTCAGAGGAAAATAAATAAAAAAAAGGAAATTGGAGAAGTGTCCCTAAAAGGGGGGGGTGGGTAGCGAACTCAGCGTTTCTTAGAGACACCAACAGTCTTTCCTCTGCGGCCTGTCGTCTTTGTATGCTGACCACGTACTCGAAGACCCCACCAATGGCGGAGGCCTCGATGGTTCCTACAAGAAAGGAAAAAGGTTACAGTTAAAAAAATTAGAATCTAAGGGTAGTTATGCCTTTAATTTACATCACCATAGATATAGTAAAACAATTTGGGACCTGCTTTTCACATTTAACTTATGTTACTATTTAAGCTACACATATACCAGGAAGCTTATTCTTCTAAACAACAAAGAAAAAGAACAAATGCAAGTGAAATTTATAACAGATCACTCATATGGTACTCCGGTAAGAGAAGAGTACTTGGGGGGATTTTCTCAATCTAAATCTGAGATCCACTTTCCTAGAATTTGGGTCCTAAATATAGGGGCTTTACCAGGGGCAGCGAATGTAAGATTTGCTCCTGCTGCATGAACACAATCTTTTGTCTTTGTAATTTAAACAGCGCAAAATAGAGCAAAGTTATAACGGATATATTACTTGTAGTAGAGAACACAACATATAGTAACATGCAAGCTTTATAAACAATGCCAATTAAAATTACCAAATAAAAAAGGTATTAGAAAATGAAATATCAACGAAGATTGAGACTGATTTTTTATGATACATATACATAGAAGGAGAAAGTCTCCCAGACAAATGCCTCCGATTAAATTTTTCTTCTTCTCTGTTTCTCTTTATATTTAATTATCATCATTGCTCAGTCATGTATACATCACGTTGTGCATAGTACAAAAAATCTGGACCGACAACTTTTTCTATGTTTCTCTTTATTGTTAATTATCATTCATTGCTGAGTCATGTACACAACTTCATGTATACATCAAGTTGTGCAGAGTATAAAAAATCTGGATCGACATATACATATGGAGGAGAAAATTAAATCTCCATATATGGAAGCAATGTTTTAAAACCTGGATCCCTAGTGGATCGTCCACCCCATAGATACACGTCGGATCGCTCGATCAACCATCTAGATCATTCCGCATCAGCGATCCAACAAAATATCATAAACTAAAAAATAAAAATAAAAAATTAAGGTAGGGTTTCATGGGGTGCGGATTTGGGGGGAACTAAGAAAACATCACATAAGCTTGAAATATATATATATATATATATATATATATATATATATTACTTGTTTTTTTTGGGTTTTTTTTTTTTATCCTTTTGTAGGGGAGGTTGGTGGGGAGAGGGAGGGTTGGTTAGTAGGACCTATAGCTTCCCGGTATATATATTACTTGTTTTTTTTTGGGTTTTTTTTTTCCTTTTGTAGGGGGGGGGTTTGGTGGGGAGAGGGAGGGTTGGTCAGTAGGACCTATAACTTCCTGGAATCGATTCAATCCCGGCTGATTCCCGGTCCGGATTGGTGGTCCCTGATCTGAATCACTTGGTTTAAAACACTATATGGAAGCGATCAGACTCATCATCAGTTTGACAAAACAAAGGAAAACTTTAGAGACTTTCTTATTTTTTTGATGGCAAACTTCAGAGCTTTGAAAACGCACAAGCCAAAAAAGAAAAACCATACCTGCTCATGATGATTGTTACATGAATTTTATGAAAATATTCAAAAAATAATAAACACCAAAAGTCAAAACCAACTCCACAAAGCTGGGACTGATTAAATGACCTTTCAAAAGCCCATTTGCCATTAATCAGTTCACGGGGTTTTCAAAAATTTAGCAGAAAGCTTTCCTCTTGAAGGGCTTACAGCTAAATGCTATATTTGGTACCACCACAGAGGAAGGGGCACTAGTTTGCTCAAAGACCCGTGTTCCCGCCAACTACAAAGTACGTGACATCTTTTCAAGATTTTGTATAAATAGAAGCCGATTCACACATTTGTACAGAACCAGTAGGTAGACATAAATATCCCAGCTGAATGACTCACAGCTGAAGCAAGGCAATGATGGGAAAGATTGCAGATTTCACATCTGAAGACTAATTTAAGGAGGAAGCCGCTAAGGAAGAGAATATCTTAGAAAAATTCGCAAATTAATCAGACAATGAAAGGAAAACCCAAAATGATAGTCAATGAACTGCAAAATTATGAATCGTTTACGAATTATTTGGATAAGAGTGTGGAAGGAAGGGATCGGCGTTACCAAAAAATTAAGGAGTGGAAGTCCGAAATAGAAAGGACATACTAAGCTGGTTCCAGCAGAAATTCAAGAGTATATTTAGCAAGGTACGTGGTAGATCCCAGGAATTTGCCAAATCTGATTCATTATTTTATGGAGTCACAGATATTGTAAGACTCTTGTCAAGGTTGTTGATCCTCATGGGTAATCAATACCTAATCAGAATTGGAAGCCAGCAACTAGGGAGCAAATTTTATATCTTTTAATTATTAAACAGGCGAACTCCATGAAAGCAAAAGACAACACATTACACTATGAGCTAAGATCGTAAGTCAGATCATCATCGATGTTGTTCATCATTGAGAAAAACTCTCAGAGAGGCATCAGAGAGGCAGGTAAGATGCCAGTGCATGGTTGGATAACAATATGTTTCTAAGGAGATCAAAGATGACTTTTTCTTTTTTTTGCCAAGTTATAATTCATCGTGCTTAGGAAACCAATACATTGCCTAATAGGGTGCCTTTAATTTTGGTTTATCCTGTACATGCTTCTTCCTAGCTTGATACCCCCAACATACATCCTTTCTTCTTGGTATGATCATCAACATTGCTACTCTTACATAAGAAAAGGGGAAAACAAAAGCAGCTCCGCACTTAAGTGTGCATGTTTAAGCATTCCCTCAAACTCGTAATGAGATTCCCATTAATGGCTAATGCACAAACACAAAATAGAAGAGCAGACAAATTTTAGTTAGGCCAACCAGAAGCCCTAATATTGCAATCAAAGTCTTCCAACTTGAAATTTGCAAGATGACAGCATATGTACAATTTAAGAAATGAAGACACATACCTAATCTTCTTTAGACGCTCCAAATCATCTCTCAGCTTCATATCCAATGCATTTGATACCACCTGTGAATACCTCCCATCTTTGTAATCCTTCTTTCTGTTAAGAAACCAGTCTGGGATCTTAAACTGACGGGGGTTGGCCACAATAACCATCAAACTCTCGAGTTCAGCAGCAGTTAACTCTCCAGCCCTGTACAACAAAACCAAAAAATAAAACTGTTAACTATACAAGAAAAAATCACCCAATAAGATAACAATGCCCCAGATCCACAACAAATCCAGCAGAACTCAAAAAGCCCTCACAGAAGCCAAAATTTAGAAAACTGAAACAAACTTGCCACTCATTACAAGCATTGCGTTTTGGGTATACAATTCTTAGGGTGAAGGGAAAAAAAAGCATCGAAATAAAAATGATAAGATATTAAAATTGAATAGGGAATGTCCAATAGCGTAATGACCCATCTATATGATATAGAACTTGACCCACTATAGATATAGACAGTTGGATCTTAATCTACATTGTCACAAACCTGTAACCTATTGCATTATATTACTCAACATCACTAAATTCAAGGCGGGCCCATGATCCACAACTTCCATCTCCAGATCTCATGGCTGACAAAAATTCTTTTATCACCTCTACATAAAGAAACCCGAAACACCCACCAAGCAGAAGAGGTGCAAAGACTTGTTCTCTTCCTCATGTGCTCACTCTTTATGACCAGAGCGGAGAGGCATTGCTTGCATAAACCAGAGGATTTGGTTTTCCCTTCTCTCATCCATGCTCCTTGGTTGTCCCTCCATTGTATCTCTAATACTCAGATTTAGTCATGGTTCCTCCCCTTTGCTCTCCCTACCTACCCGCCTTACCCATAAAACAACAATCAATGCCACGAAACTCTCCCTCTCAAATCCTCTTCTCCTGCCTCTCCCATGAACAACACTTGATGCCAAAGTCATCTCTCTCTCTAAAATCGTCTTCTCCCTCCTCACTCATGAACAACATTCGAAGCCAAAGTCGTCTATTTCAAATCCTTTTCTCCAGCCTCGCCATGAATAACACTCAATGCCAAAGTCCTCTTTATAAACCAGAACCTCTCTGTCTCTCAAATCCTAATCTCCTGCCTTCCCCTGAACATCACTTGATGCCAAAGTCTTCTTTATAAACAACATCTTTATGGAGAAGCAATAATTGTCAATAGATAAATTAATGGTTTGTAGATCATAGTCAAGGGATGGGAGTGTTTCCTTTTTATCACATCAGATTGAAAAGAAGGGAGATGGACATTTTTGTTATCAATACATGGATTACCATCAGTGTTTCAAAAAGCGCTAGGTGGCCCCTAGGCGGCCATGGGGGTCCAAGCCGCCCAGCGCCTAGGCGAGCGCCCAGAACTTGGGTGGCTCAATTAAAAAAAAAACTAAGACCATAATCTCAGTATTTTGATAATCCATTAGACCATAATCCATATTTTTCATACAATGCTAAAACAGTAAAAACATACAAGCATATATTGATAGTCTGATACACTGTAGACTCTACACACAAAAGTTAGATAGTAGAACTAGAAACTAGAAAGTAGAAACTAAAAATAAGAAAAAGAAAATATACAGAAATTCATAAAATATACGGACACAATAATCAACACTCAACACAACAGTCAACACGCAACACCAAGAGTCTTCAGTCATCATCATCATCATCATCATCATCAGAAGGAATAGGGTCAACTTCATCATATGCATTAGAATCAAGGCCATCATCATCAAAGTCATCTCCCTCTTCAATGTAATGCTTGTCCTCCTCTTTTTCTACCTCCCTCTTACTAGTATGTGTAGATGAGGCCTAGGAGTCTTGGCTGCTCTATCTTTTTGTGCTTCCCTGAACTCAAATTTTATATAATTTCATCCCTGGTAGCCTCAGGAACATTTTTACACAGGGCAACATCCCCTTAATACCGGTAAGGTGTTTTTTAAACCGGTAAATGCCCCCATTAGTATCCTTTCCACAATAATTATATTTAATACGATTTTTGTCATCCGGATTTGGGTTATAGCTATACTTCCAACCCGGATCACCACTTCTAGAAGAACCTGGACAAAATATTTCTGTAGAACAAGGATCATTTTCATTATTTTTTGGTTCTTTTAAATTCAGAAGTTGTCTAATCTCATCCCGAATACCTTTAGGAACTTTTTTACAAGAAGTAACATTCCCTTTAATACCAGCAAGGTGTTTCTTGAATCGATTAATACCCCCATTGGAATCTTTTTCACAAAAATTACACCTTATACAATTTTTATCGTTTGGTTTTTGGTTATCATCATACTTCCAACCTGGATCACTTCTTCTAGAAGTAGCAGAAATAGATATATTCAAATGACAAGGATTTTGTTCTTGTTTTTGTTTTACAAAACTCATGTATTGCTTAATCTCCTCTCTGATAGCTTCAGGAACATTTTTACAAAGGGCAACATCCTCCTTAATACCGGCAATATGCTTCTTAAACCGGTTTTTTCCCCCTTTTGTATCTTTTTCACAAAAATTGCATCTAATACAATTTTTGTCATTTGGATTCGGGTTACATCCATATTTCCAATCCGGATCTCCACTTTGACTGGATCCTGAAAAAGACATCTCAAAATAAAACAAACAATCTAAAAAATAATTTTTTGTACTTACTTTAATTGCTCGAACTCCAAACTCTCACCTCTAAGATGTTTTCTAGTGCTAAAATAATTAAAAACACCCTCTAATAGGATTATAAATCTCCAAAACTATATCAAATCTACCAGGGTGATGTTTGGATCCGTTTTTCGTAACTTTGAGAAGCACTTCGATCCAATGAAAGTCACAAAATTTAGTTTTCTTGAGGTTTCTTTCTCTCTAAAATGGGTTCTTGTGGGTTTAGGCTTGAAATGAACCTAAAACCCATCCTTCAAACCATTTATATTTCAAAAAAATTCAATACAACTTAAAAAAAAATATAAAATCCGCCCTTGGGCAGGGTGCAAGCCCTGGGAGGCCGCCCTGGGCTGGGAGCTAGGCGCTCGCCTAGGCAGGTTTCGTACTGCCTAGGCGACCGCCTAGGCTTGGGTAGGTAGTCCGCTTTTTGAATTACTGATTACTATTGGAGGTTAGACAGGGAGGTTGGGTTATATGGATATTGTATGCATGCATGTACGTATGTATGTATGTATGTGGAGAGATAGAAAGACTTACATGCTAAAGGGTTGGGTTGAAGAGGGGGAGAAATCAAGGTGCTTCTCTTAATCTCTTTAGCAAGGTGCTTCCCCTAATCTCTCTTTAACAAGGTGCTAAACATCATTCTTTCTCTCTTTAGCAAGGTGCTTCTCCTAATCTCCTCCAACATGATTTGTAGGTAGCACGAGAGAAATATTTGTGGTGTGCTAACGATTGGGAAAGACATTGGCTAACTAGAAACCTGTTGTTTTAGACAGTAAACTCAATCTCTAGCTGAAAAACAAAGATTTGGATCTGGCAATGAAGATCAATAGTTGGTGAAGGCCTAGATCAAACAAGGGTAAATATCTCCATGGCCCCTATTTTTGCCACCTATTTCTTAGGAGACTAAAGGATTTAGATTCTTTCTTACTGCATAAAGTCTCTATGTTTTTTATCTTCCAACTCCCTATACCCCTTTGACCATGTATTGTTGTCCTAAATAGTTTAGAGAATGACTCCCTTTCATTCAAAAGGTAAGGCTCTGTTAGCCCCTTAACCTATGCCATCTCTCTCTCAAAACTCCGTCTCTTTCTCTCTAATACCCCAATCGCAAAGCCTACCCTTCCCATCGTCTCTCTCTCTCTCTCACTCCCTCTCTCTCTCTCAAATACCCAAATCGCAGAGCCCACCCTCCCCATCGTCTCTCTCTATCAAAACTCTCTCTCTCTCTAAAAATAGGAAAGACAATTAACCCACCAAAAGCTCAAATGCAGCTGAAGATATCACACAATTGGGCTATGTTCCACAAATGTTGATGTAAATTAGGGATTCAAATGCAAATTTGTTATTTGATGGATGAAAATCTAAACCTATGCTAATAAACTATGGAACAAACTAGGTAATGATATAAAAACCAGAAGAACAGAACATCAATGGACAAACATATTTCCATGAATTCTCTAGCGTACGTTTAGCTACAAGAAGCAGAGGGGCTCTTTGTGGAGAAGTACCAGGAAGATAGCCCCACATAAACACTGCTCTCTCCTTCTCCTCTGCACTGACCCTGACTCCTTTTCCCGCAACTCCTTCACCTCCACTCTCGTGCATCCCAAACAAGTAACTCTACCCTAATTTTCAAAGCAAAGTGACAACAAAACGCCCAAGCTCTAAATCAAAGGTGAAAAGCATCAATTCTTTCTGCAAAAAAGTGAATGCACCATAAAGCACAAATTGTGGCCCCGGATGCATAGAGTAATGGAATAGATGTTGAAGAAGCCTCTACCTTGAATGCCCTCTACCTTGAATGCTCTCACTGATGAGGGATGTCAAGAACTACTGCACCATCCTACCTGCTAAACCACAAATTGTGGCCCTGGATTCAGAGAGTAATGGAATAGATGTTGAAGAAGCCTCTACCTTGATGAGGGATGTTGAACAAGCCTCCCACCTTCCTACCTGCTGGAACAATATCTACAAGCTCTATCCTAGAACCTCACCGTCCTCCTCCTCCCCCCCCCCCCCAGCTGAGATCCTCTCATACCTCCTCCCATCCTTCCTCCCGTCCCTCCCCTAAGGCCTCTTTCTCCCAGGTTGTAGCCTCCACTAAGCCTATTATTTCCCCCACTCCGTCCAACCCCCCTCCCTGACGTCAAGAGCAATGGTATCGCAGTTCCATTTGGTCCCCTTTTCTCCCCTATTGCATCTCCATCGATCCGAGAGAGATTGAAAAATCACAGCCTAAACTGTTCGCTTCTCTGGTTGGACGCTTCCAGCCTGCACGCCATAACTTCAGAGGCATTGAAAGGGCAGCACAAAAATACTAGAGAGAACCTAATCTCACATGCCGTCGCCTCGCTAATGGCGAAATCCTCTTCTCCTTCCCCTCTTCGAGCAGTGCCCAAATCGCTCTTCAAGATTCTAAATCCTTTTCTTTTCGTGGAGCCTATTGCTGCCTTCGCCCTTGGTTGTCGTCGGAGGGGTCTTTCAGGAAACAAAGGGTGTGG